TATATATATATATATATATATATATTCTGCCGGGTTTGCCAACCTCGGATTGGAACGTCTACGCCGAGGGCTCGCGACCTTGGCGTCTGCGATGTCTTTCGAAGCGCCACCTTCCCTCTGCGTCTACTAGATCCTCGCCGAATCTTCTCCCGTCTTCGAATTCTTGAAACACCGTGCACCAGAACAAGATAATCGCCTCGTAAGGTCTTTCTTCACCGCTTTTCTTGTGCTCACGCCGTGGCGTATTGCAAAGTTCTCACGCGTGTTTGATAGAGGCGTATTTGTGCTTGGTGTTTTTTACGATGCATTCTCTCGTGCAGTTAATTTTAACAGTTCTCCTAAACGCCTCAAAGCAGCTGAAGTGTTTACTTTCGCAGCCACTATTCAATCTGGTACTCGTTACTTTAAGAATCTCCACAGTCTATAATTCGCCCAAATATAATCGTAGTCTAATGTCTAGATTCTCCACTCGTCTAACAACTTTCTTGCACCAATAATTACTTTCATACGTACTCTCACCAAGAAGGCGTCTATCATTCCTCACTCAGCTAACTAGGAACGCACAACCGACCTGGTTGACGACTCTCAGAAGAAGGAGCGGTCAGATGCCCAGCCTCTCCTCGAGAGGTAACACGGCGTCACAACCCCTACCGACTGATCCTTCGCGCTCGCCATAAACTGTATGGCCGGCGGCGGAGCTGCGGGCAGCAGAGCTGCGGACGCCGCGCTGTTTCGCAATAGCGGAGACATTTCTGGGTGACCCGTGGCTGCGTAGGCGGCTGGGGTGTTTGGTACATGTGCCAAACGCCACATTGCCTCCTATTCCCCCTTCAAGATTTTTTTCCAGAAAAATCTTAAACTGGTTCAGATTATGAAAATTGTAGTTTCCGACGTGCTCTCTCTCATGGCTCACCAGGCACACAACATTTGGTGCTACTATTCTTTTATCTCATAAGATCCCTCAAAGAGCTTGTAAAACTTGGTAAACATCCTAAGACGCGGGTCAGATATCTTAACCGTTCTTAGGAATGCTTGTTGATTTTCGCTAATTCGCGGTGGTACGTCGCGATATGGCACATTTACCGCGTTCAAGCTATCCGAGCCTAAACACAAGGAGATTTTTCCATCTTTCTTCGTACCTACAGAGATTGGATTGGTGTAAGCGGTGGCTGCTTTTCGGATTATTCCTTCCTGCATCATCTACATCCTTCACTTGAACTCGATATGCAATGGGGATAGGATATTTTTTTGCTTTGAACGGCGTTGCGTCTGTCCGTTCGATTCGAAGCTCTTACTCTCTTACTGGTTCTTCTCGTTTCTCAAACACAGTTTGGACTCGTATTAACATCTAAAGTAAAGCGAGTTTTGGTTCAACGGTTAAATATTTCCCTCCGCTACTTTCTTCCTTTGTTAATATATTCTTCATTCTTCATTTTCCCTCACACAACACATTTCAATTTCTTCTAACTTCTTCATCCCTTCTTCATCTTCCTCTTTGTCATCCACAATGTCCACGTTGAAGAACTCCCTGTTCTTCCATATTAACTATCACTCCATGTTCTTCCAGAAAATCAATACCGATGATAAAAGAGTAAATTAGTTTCTTCACCACTAGATATATTACGTGATACGGTCGGCCATTACCCACGCACTCGAACATATCCTGTTTCATAATCGGATGTGACTTCTTCTCCGATACATCCATTACTTTTGTGTTGTTAGTTGACATTACTAACACCTCAGCACCTTTCTCTACTAATTCTTCGTGCAACTCTTCTGCCATCACCGATTTTACCGATCCAGTATTAACTAATGTTCGACTTGTTACCTTCCCACATTCAATCTTGATCATTGGACATCACTGCGCGTTTCACCTTCTCTCTTTGTTCGATAAATTTCCTTCCGTGTCCTCTTTTTGCTTTGTAATAATATAATAATAAATATTACAGATGATTTTCGATTTTATGATGCTACTAAACTACAAAATATAAACAAAAACGAAGGAAACTTTGTTTTGTAAATTTAGAAAATGTCGCACAGGTTTCATATAAAGTACTCCCCAAAAATTAACATATCCATTTCAAATTTAAAGGTACACGACAGAAACTAGATCGATTGCAGAATATCAATTTTGGAGAAAATTGACTAAACGGTTTAGACACTAGCGTTGTTGACCAGAACAGTCTAGACAGACACAGACAGACACAGACAGACAGAGACAGACAGAGACAGACAGA